CCACTTGGTGCTTTGAGACGCAGTTCAACCCGGTAGTGGAGCCCACATCACTTAAGTTTAGGTTCACAGTCAGCCTGGGAGAAGATAGAAAGGGATTTTCCTTTAAAGTAAAGTAACAGTTAGTAGCCACCAGTTGCACAAAAGCCTGGAAGCATTTGTTTAACCTTTTGAAGACAAGAGAAGTTTCTGTTTGATTGTTCCTCAATAAAAGACTTTGTTTGTTATATTTCACAAGCCCTCTAAAGACTGTTTGTGGTGGAAAATTCTTAAGAGCTTCTCTTTGGGCTTCCCGCTGGGCAAAGGTTGCACGTCCTGTTTAAAGACAATTATTTACAGGCCCAGCGCACAACAGAACAGTCAAACTGCATTAATTTTAGAGTGTAGATGCGCTTTTAGGAATTGTGCCCCAAATTAAAACTGGGCAATTTAAATGTACTTAAGTAAAATGACAACCACTGTGTTTAAGCCTTTGCTCAGTGAATATATGTGGGGAAATGATCATGAAGATTAAAGACCTTGTAAAGCATATACCACTTGGCACACCAAGCAGCTAATTACATTACAGGGTTGCTGTGAGTTTTCTGGGATGTATGGCCATGTTCCAAAAGCATTCTCTCCTGCCATTTCACCAACATCTATGTCAGGTCTGTTAGAAACTAGGAAAGTGGGGTTTATCTATCTGGGGAATGTCCAGGGTGGGAGAAAGAACTCTTGTCTGCTTGAGGCAAGTGTGAATGTTGCAACTGGCCAGCTTGATTAGCACTGAATGGCATCTTCAAAGCCCAGCTGCTTCCTGCCTGGGGGAATCTTTTGTTGATTTTTTAAAAGTGCACCCATGTAATTAAATAGGGTAAAACACAATTAAAAAACGGGTTGTGCCTGAAGAGCCACTTAAAACAAAAATCAAAGGGAAAGATGCAGCCTGGCTTCCCTTGGCAAGGCCTTCCATATCCTATGAATCGAGACCAGTGCAAGTTCTCTTGCTGGGCTTTTATGACAAAGAAGCTAACCCAAATACTAGTATACCTGTAATGTTGCTTTTAATAATAATATATAAAACTAATAAAACTTTATTTATATACCGCTCTATCTCCCCAAGAGGGACTCAGGGCGGTTTCCAAGCAATGTCACCAAAACATACAAAGTAAACAGCATAACATAAAATTAACAAAACAACATAAACATAAAATTATCACAAAAACACATATATATTAAAAAAACAATCCTGCCTGTTCAGAGCAATTAAAAGGCCAGGCTGAGGCTAGTGCAAACTCAAAATATGAGGGGGGCAGGAATTAAGAACAGTACTATAACAGGCTAACAGTAATAGCAGGTACGGGTCTGTGGCTGCTCATTTCCAGGGCCTATTATAGGGATGACCGGGGTGATAGGTAGAAAGTACAAGGTCATACTCAACAACGTTTGGGGCTGAGCTAGAACTGGTCATTCTCAAAGGCTTGTTGAAACTGCCAGGTCTTCAATGTTGCTGCAAATTGTGCTTTACTGATTTGTTATTATGTTTAGTTATGATAAATTGTTTGTATTACTTGTATTGTGTTGTCGAAGGCTTTCGTGGCTGGAATCACTGGGTTGCTGTGAATTTTCTGGGCTATATGGCCATGTTCCAGAAGCATTCTCCTCTGACGTTTCACCCACATCTATGGCAGGCATCCTCAGAGGTTGTGAGATCTGTTGGAAATGAGGCAAGTGGGGTTATATATCTGTGGAATGTCCAGGTGAGAGAGAGAACTCTTGTCTATTCTTTCAACATTACAACATTCACACTTGCCTATAACAGACACAAATAAATAATAAATAAATAATATGTCCATGTTCCTGAAGCATTCTCTCCTGACATTTCACCCACATCTATGGCAGGCATCCTCAGAGGTTGTGAGGTCTATTGGAAACGAGGCAAGTGGAGTTTATATATCTGTGGAATGTCCAGGTGGGAGACAGAACTCTTATCTATTCTTTCAACATTACAACATTCACACTTGCCTCAAACAGATACAAATAAATAAATAATAAATAATATGGCCATGTTCCAGAAGTATTCTCTCTCTGAGGCATCCTCAGAGGTTGTGAGGTATGTTGGAAACCTGGCAAGTGGGGTTTAGGGCTTCATCACACTAGAGAGAGAAAATCCACTTAAAATCTGGTTTCTGCCTCCTGTAGAATTCTGGGGTTTGCGGTTTAGGGAGGAGCCTTTAATAGCCTCACTAAACTACAAACCCCTGAATTCTGCAGAAGGCAGAACCCGGATTTTAAGTGGATTTGTTTTCTCTAGTGTGATGAAGAAGTATATATCCGTGGAATATACAACATGAGGAACTAGGAAAGTTGAGAAACACTGGCTTAGCATCAAAGACAAAGCCCTTTAGGAAACATGCATTGGAATGTAAAGAAAGGAATCCCTGAGCTTGGCCCTGCCTCTAGGCTAGCTACTCATTGAGAACTAGAAACTTGATAATACAAAAATTTGTGCAGTCCAGGGATGAAACCTGGCAAGGGGAATCTTTGGATGGAGACTGACATTGCTTTGTTAGGCATGGGCAAATGTTGGCCCTCTAACCTACCAGCTGTTTGGAATTGTGGGAGTTAAAGTCCAAAACACCTGGAGGGCCAAAGTTTGTCCATGCTTGACAAAGCGATGTCAGTTTCCATTAATTCCAGGTGCATCCTTGAACTGAATAGGTATTTCTGTAAGACATGTTGAGTGCATCCTTTCAACACTGTAGAAAGGATGCAGTTTGACAGCTTTTGAGCCAAGGAGTGGCAAAACTATGTCTTTCCTGCCAAGGAGTGCTGGTGCAACAGTGGAACTATTTGGCTCGGAGTGTGATGGAAGCTCTTTCCTTGGAGGCTTTCATGCAGAGGATTCATGTCGGGAGTGCTTGAATTGTGCTCTTCCTGCCTGGCATGGGGTTGGCCTGGATGGGCCCGTACAGTCTCTTATTATATAGCTATACTAGAGCTAGGCTAGGTCAAGGGCAATGAGATAGCAGAGGGCTAGTGAAGTGGGTAGAGAGCAGAGCGGGGACCCAACACATCTGTGCATCCTCTGGGCAATGTCTTTGTCAATGGCTGATTCTCTCACACCAGGAGCGACTTGCAGCTACTCATTTAGGACTAGAAACTTGATAACACAAAGACTTGTGGAGTCCAGGGATGAAACCCAGCAAGAGGGAGTTTTGGCTGGCATCTGTCTGTAAGAGCTGTTGATCAATGGAACTCTCTGCCTCGGGGTGTGGTGGAAGCTCCTTCCTTGGAGGCTTTTATGCATAAGCTGGATGGCTATCTGTCGGGGTTGCTTGGATTGTGCGTTTCCTGTATGGCAAGGGGTTGGACTGGATGGCCCATGCGGTCTCTTATTATATAGCTATAATAGAGCTAGATCAGGAGCTGTTGATCAGCAGAACCCTCTGCCTCGGGTTGTGGTGGAAGCTCCCTCCTTGCAGAGGCTGGATGGCTATCTGTCGGGGGTGCTTGGATTGTGCGTTTCCTGTATGGCAAGCGGTTGGACTTGATGGCCCGTGCGGTCTCTTATTATATAGCTATAATAGAGCCAGGCAAGGAGCTGTTCATCAGTGGAACTCTCTGCCTCGGGGTGTGGTGGAAGCTCCTTAATTGGAGGCTTTTATGCAGAGGCTGGATGGGTATCTGTCGGGGGTGCTTGGATTGTGCGTTTCCTGTATGGCAAAGGGTTGGACTGGATGGCCAGTGCAGTCCCTTATTATATAGCTAATAATAGAGCTAGGCCACGTCAAGGGTAATGAGGTAGCAGAGGGCCAGGGAAGTGGGTAGAGTGCAGAGCGGGGACCCAACACATCTGGCCATCCCCTGGGCGACGTCTTTGAAGACGGCTGATTCTCCCACACCAGGTGTGACTTGCAGCTAACCATTGAGGACTAGAAACTTGATAATGTGATACAGAATGGGGGACAATGCCTGGCTCGAGAGCAGTACGTGTGAAAAAGATCTTGGAGTCCTCGTGGACAACAAGTTAAACATGAGCCAACAATGTGATGTGGCGGCAAAAAAAGCCAATGGGATTTTGGCCTTCATCAATAGGAGCATAGTGTCTAGATCTAGGGAAGTCATGCTACCCCTCTATTCTGCTTTGGTTAGACCACACCTGGAATATTGTGTCCAATTCTGGGCACCACAATTCAAGAGAGATATTGACAAGCTGGAATGTGTCCCGAGGAGGGCGACTAAATTGATCAAGGGTCTGGAGGAGCGGCTTAAGGAGCTGGGCATGTTTAGCCTGAAGAAGAGAAGGCTGAGAGGAGATATGATAGCCATGTATAAATATGTGAGAGGAAGCCACAGGGAGGAGGGAGCAAGCTTGTTTTCTGCTTCCTTGGAGACTAGGACGCGGAACAATGGCTTCAAACTACAAGAAAGGAGATTCCATCTGAACATGAGGAAGAACTTCCTGACTGTGAGAGCCGTTCAGCAGTGGAACTCTCTGCCCCGGAGTGTGGTGGAGGCACCTTCTTTGGAAGCTTTTAAACAGAGGCTGGATGGCCATCTGTCAGGGGTGATTTGAATGCAATATTCCTGCTTCTTGGCTGAATGGGGTTGGACTGGATGGCCCATGAGGTCTCTTCCAATTCTTTGATTCTATGATAACGCAAAGACTTGTGGAGTCCAGGGATGAAACCCAGCAAGAAGAAACTTTGGCTGGAATCTGTCTGTAAGAGCTGTTGATCAGTGGAACTCTCTGCCTCGGGGTGTGGTGGAAGTTCCCTCCTTGGAGGCTTTTATGTAGAGGCTGGATGGGTATCTGTCGGGAGTGCTTGGATTGTGCGTTCCCTGTATGGCAAGGGGTTGGACTGGATGGTCTCTGTGGACTCTAGGATTCTGATTCCCCCGCACAGAGCCGTGGCAGTAGTTCTGCCCCCTCGGGTGAATAATGCGGGCGGCGGGCCCTTTAAGGAGGAGGGCGCGGGTGCCTCTTTCCCGCCTCCCTCTCGGGGCCTGAGCCGCCGCCTCTTTGCACCGGGAGGCAGGGAAGCAGGGAAGCAGGGAAGCAGGCAAGCGAGGAGCGGGACCAGCCAGCCATGCTTCGGCTAGGCCGGCCCTGCGTTCTGCGGGCGCTGCTCCGGCTCCCGGGCTCCAGCTGCAGCGCCGCCTCGACGGAGGGAAACCTCCAGGTGGAGCCCGGCAACGGAGGCGCCACCTTCGGGGTTCGCCGCCACCACCTTCCGCCAAAGGGCGACAGGCTTCTCCTGCTTCTCCTTCTCCCTAAACAAGCAGAGGCCGAGATCAGCAGAGGGATTCGCTCCTACTCCACCGGGGCCCGGAAGGTGGGTTCAGAAAGGGCGTCCACACTGTGGAATGAGCTCGGTTTGACACCGCTTTAGCCCTGGCCCAGCTGGAGCTAGGGAATCCTGGGAATTGTCGTTTTAGCCAGGCCTAAGAGTGGACCAACACCCCAGCTGGGACACCCCTTGAGCTGGCCATGTGTTCAGTGCTTTGGAATCCTGGGAGTTGTAGTTTGGTGAGGCCCCAGCACTCCTTAGCAGGGAAGACATAGCTTGGCCATTCAAGAGCTGTCAAACTGCGTTGTTTCTGCACTGTTGAAGCAAAATCAGGCCTGGGCAAACTTGGGCCCTCCGGGTGTTTTGGACTTCAACTCCCCACAATTCCTAACAGCCTATCGGCTGTTAGGAATGGTGGGAGTTGAAGTCCAAAACACCCGGAGGGCCCAAGTTTGCCCATGCCTGATAAAGTGATGTGGTTCAATATTATGGAAAGATGGGAGTTGTAGTCGGTGAGGCACCAACCCTCTTTGGCAGGGAAAGCTGAAGACCTTGCGAAACTACAACTCCCACGATTCCATAGCATTCCGCAAGGCATTCATCCTGCAGTGAAAACAGTCCACCTTTGCTTTCTGATGCATCCATATACACAAACTTTGTGGTATGCAGAAATGATCAAAATATATTATATTTCAGCGTGTTTAGTGTTGGGGGATATATGTGTTGTTGAAGGCTTTCATGGCCAGAATCACAGGGTTGCTGTGAGTTTTCCGGGCTACATGACCATGTCCCAGAAGCATTCTCTCCTGACATTTCACCCACGTCTATGGCAGGGATCCTCAGAGGGGAAAGAGGAAGGATGAAGGAACATTGAGATATGTGTTGTTGAAGGCTTTCATGGCCAGAATCACTGGATGGTTGTGAGTTTTCCAGGCTACATGGTCATGTCCCAGAAGCATTCTCTCCTGACATTTCACCCACATCTATGGCAGGCATCCTCAGAGGTTGTGAGGTCTGTTGGAAACTAGGTTAGTGGGGTTTATATGCCTGAATTGTCCAGGGCGAATTCCGGACAGGAAGCAATCAGGGCCAGCTAACACCTCCCAACAAAGAACTCCCCCAGGCAGGAAGCAGCCAGGCTTTGAAGTTGCAGGGCTCTTCAGTGCGAATCAAGCTGGCCAGTTGCGACATTCACACTTGCCTCCAATAGACATGGTCATGTTCCAGAAGCATTCTCTCCTGACATTTCACCCACATCCATGGCAGGCATCCTCAGAGGTTGTGAGGTCTGTTGGAAACTAGGCTAGTGGGGTTTATATACCTGGATTGTCCAAGGCGAATTCCAGACAGGAAACAATCAGGGCCAGCTAACACCTCCCAACAAAGAACTCCCCCAGGCAGGAAGCAGCCAGGCTTTGAAGTTGCAAGGCTCTTCAATGCGAATCAAGCTGGCCAGTTGCGACTTTCACACTTGCCTCCAATAGACATGGTCATGTTCCAGAAGCATTCTCTCCTGACATTTCACCCACATCTATGGCAGGTATCCTCAGAGGTTGTGAGGTCTGTTGGAAACTAGGCAAGTGGGGTTTATATACCTGGATTGTCCAGGGCAAATTCCAGACAGGAAACAATCAGGGCCAGCTAACACCTCCAAACAAAGAACTCCCCCAGGCAGTAAGCAGCCAGGCTCTGAATATGCAGGGCTCTTCAATGCGAATCAAGCTGACCAGTTCCGACATTCACAATTGTCTCCAATAGACAAGAGTTCTTTCTCCCACCCTGGACATTATCCCAGAGATATATAAACCCCACTTGCCTAGTTTCCAACAGACTTCACAACCTCTGAGGATGCCTGCCATAGATGTGGGTGAAACATCAGGAGAGAATGCTTCTGGAACATGGCCATACAACCCGGAAAGCTCACAGCAACCCACTGTATCATTCTTATTGTTATATTTATTTATATCCTGCTTTATCTGTCTTGCAGGAGACTCAAAGCTGCTTAACATAAAAGCATTAGTATATAATTTGAAATACACCAATATGCAAACATTAAAAAGGGATTAAATATAAACAATATTTTCAAAAATTCCCAGATAAAACCATTAAAAGATATTCAGAGTTAAAAACCAAAGCATATATATGTGCCGTCAGGTGCCTGCCAATTTATAGTGGCGCCATGAATTTCATAGTGTTTTTTTAGATAGGTTTTTAAATCCTTGTGTGTTATTGTCTATGTGTTAATTATGTTAATTGTATTGTTTATTTTGCTTATTCCCTGTTGTATTTATTGATGTGTTGTTGGGCTTGGCCTCATGTAAGCCGCTCCGAGTCTAATAAAGTTTTATATTATTATTATTATTATTATTATTATTATTATTGATAAGTAATAGTCTGAGGTGGTTTTGCCTTCCTCTGAAATATAGCCTAAAGTAGCTGGTGTTTGTTGGTGGCATTCCATCCAAGTACTAACCAATGTTGACCCTTCTTAACTTCCAAAATCAAACAGAATCTCCTGCCTTCAGGATATTTAGTAAAGGTAAAGGTTTTCCCTGACATTGAGTCAGACTCTGGGGGTTGCTGCTCATCTCCATTTCTAAGCTGAAGAGCCGGCGTTATCCGTAGACACCTCCAAGGTTATGTGGCCAGCATGACCGTATGGAGCGCCGTTACCTTCTCGCATATTGATCTACTCACATTTGCTTGTTTTTGTACTTCTTGGCTGGCAGAAACTGGGGCGAACAGCAGGAGCTCTTCCCACTCCCCAGATTACAACCACCAACCTTTCGGTCAGCAAGTTCAGCATCTCAGCAGTTTAACCTGCTGTGCCACCATATTTGCACCATTCTAAAATACAGCCCAAGGTGCCTGGTATTCCTTGGCAGCCCCCATCCAATTACTAACCAAGCCTGACTCTGCTTAGCTTCCAAGATTAGTTGTGATTCGGTGACTTTGGGGTAGTTACGCTCTAATCAGTGACTATATTATTGTTGTTGGGGAGCGCTTTATTCCGGAGAACAAAGACTGAAGTGCAATACAGGAATACAGGATCACAATGGAAAGAGGCTCTCTGAGCATTCATGGAGTGCTCCCCTCTAACTGTAGGCAGTGATCCAATGTTTTGTTGTGTTGCTTCCAAGTAATTTCAGATTTACACTAACCCTAAATCCTTCATTGGGTGTTCTTGGCAAGATTTGTTCAGAGAAGGTTTGCCCTTGCCGTCCTTTGAGGCTGAGAGAATGTGACTTATCCAAAGTCACCCAGTAGCCTCCATTGTTGATTGGGGATTCGAACCCTGGTTTGTTTGAGGGTTTTGTGTGTGTGTTTCAGGAGTGACTTGAGAAAGTGCAAGTTGCTTCTGGTGTGAGAGAATTGGCTGTCTGCAAGAACGTTGCGCAGGGGATGCTTGGATGTTTCACCATCCTGTTGGAGGCTTCTCTCATGTCCCCTTATGGGAAGTTGGAGTTGCTCACCCCACTCCCTGGATTCAAACTACCTACCTTTTGGTCAGCAGTCCTGCTGGCACAAGGGTTTAACCCATTGTGCAACCAAGCACTGGTTTCCTGGTGTCTTAGTCCAAAACTCAGTCTATGGGCTGCACAGTGGGTGCTGCTGAACTGCTGACCTAAAGGTTGGCATTTCGAGTCCGTGGGACAGGGTGAGCTTCCGCTGTTAGCCCAGCTCCTGCCAACCTACCAGTTCGAAAACATAAAATGTGAGTAGATAAATAGGTACCACTTCGGCAAGAAAGACATAAGATTCTCCACGCAGTCATGCTAGTCACACGACCAGGAGATGACAACCCAGGCTCCTCAGCTTGGAAGTGGAGATCAGCATCTCTCCCAGAGCGAGAGATGAACACCGCCTCCAAAGCTGGAAATGAAAGGAGAAGCCTCTACCTTTGTTTGTGTGTATCATTGCATTGTAACAAGACATTGAATGTTTGCTGGTATCTGTTTACACTGTGATCTGCTCTGAGTCCCTATGGGGAGAAGGTTGGAATATAAATAAATTGTTATTATTACTACTACACTACTACTACAATTCATAGACTGCAAGCTATCTTTGAAAGTTTGAGATATATGCACAAAACCCTTAACTACAACTCCCAGCATTTTTCACCATAAGCTATCCTAAGGCAGCTGGGAGTTGTAGTTCACCAACACCCAAAAGGCCACATGACTCCCAGGCCTCTTGTCAAGGTTATTTTTGCCTGAATTTGGGGCATAAGAATAATATCTTTGCATAGTCCCTTTTTTATTATAGTAACAGAATATTTAGTATGTGCCCAAGGGCTGACGATCTTAATTTCTTCCATGGCAGCATAAAGTTTAACACATTAATTACTCCATGAGCATTTGACTTGCCTAGAGATTTGGAGCATAGAAGTTTGTTATGTGTTATTATCTCAGTGATCTGTCCAATAATCCTTTGGTCTGTATTAACTCCAGCTTGTTGTAATTCAAGAACAGTGGACCTTTGGACCTTTTGATGTTTTGATCTGCAGTTTTGTTTTCTAGTTCGAAACTTCGTTTATGGAAAGGAAATAAAGTAGCAGAACTACTCTTGGATTATACAATTTAACAATGCATATGTCTTGGCTTCAAGCAGAACATGACCGTATAGAGCAGCACGTCTCAACCTGGGGATTGGGACCCCGGGGGGGGGGGGGGTTGTGAGGGGGCTTCAGAGGGGTTGCCAAAGACCATCAGAAAACACATATTTCTCATGGTCTTAGGAACCCCTTTGGCAGAGAAGGCTGAAGATCTCTCTGCCTGCCTTTCTCTTCCTATTTGGAAACAGACTGCGAATCCTCCCACAAAAATCCCTCCTCCGCTGTGATTGGCTGGCCTCTCAACCAAGAGAAGGACTGTTTCTGAAACTCCAAGCAAGGGAGGAGAGAGCAGGTATGCTTGGCGCATGGCAAGTGTGCATGTGTTTGGCGAGGGAGAGCATGTGAGGCTGGAGGGAGGCTCATGCCAACTAGTCCCTTCAAGGCATGGGGGTTCTGTGTGGGAAGTGTGGCCCAATTCTATAATTGGTAG